CCTGACGGGCGGATTGACTGGGATGCTCCATGCCCCCTCCATTCCCTGCAATGTATGGCCTGGGAGAGCTTTCAAGATGAGCACTTACCCCTCCTGGAGCATGAGTGCGCATATTACGCAAGTTTTGAGCGATGGACTAGCGAAAGTCGCACCAGTTCGCCGGTGAGGCCTTCGGAGGAGGTTGTGTTAGGGGAAGAACTGGGTTCTCCCCTACCTCGCCCCGCTTGCCGTTCACTTCCCTAGAAGACCCCTAGGCGACCTGAAGTAGCTCGGGCGGCTTCAGGATCTCCGTCCTCGCCTAGGTGATGCTGGTTGGGGTTCACAGAGAAGTGAGCCGTCCCCCATCCTTCCTTGGTGGGAGAAGGGCGGTGGGTTTTTGCCGAGGCTGGGGGCGACCACTCCCATTCCATGTTGGGGAAGAAAGGTGGTCGTCCTGGACGGCCGGTGATCGGAGTTTTGCTTGCCTATACAGCCGCAGAACTACCTTTCAGACCTGCCTGTCCCCCCTAGACGTTCGCTCGCAAAGTCTTAGATTGTTGTTTTTCATTGTAGGAGATGTATGGGGAAGTATCCTTCCTAACGTAGAGATTGTTCTCAAGTGTACTGTAGTAGATGCAAGAGATTATCCTTGAAATGTAATGAACATTTCTGTGACTGTATTTTGATGTTACCTGTTTACTTACAAGTTTCACCTTCTTCTCTTTCGCATCCTACATTGGACGTTCCGGTTCCCTCGGACTTGAATCAGAGAATACCTCGCCTCTTTTGACTTAGCCACTTTCGGGTTACTTTGACCCTTGTGGCGTCGCCATACCCCCAAGATCCCCTGGTCGCTCATGCGATCAACAGATCTTGTGTTCCAGACTTAGCCGTTCTCTTAGACTTTCTTGCCACGGCGTCGTCTTCAACCTTGGTCGCCTGACAGGGTTCGACGCTTCACCCACTACTGGGTATCTTAGCACGAATCACCGTGCAATTTTAGCGATCGATCTCTTGTGGTCGCTCCTCTCTTTTTTTTTTTTTTTTTTTGAGAATTGGAGACAAGATGTTCCAGAGAGCTGGATTTATTAAATCTCAAAAAACAGACATGGCTGGAATACAATCTATTGATAAAATTTAATAAGGTTGGCGGCATTCCATACTCGCGGAACGTCGCCACCGGTTGGAGTCTACAATCTAAATGTCCCATCGGCCAACACCTCCTTTATGATATATGGCCCCTCGAAGCTTTTAGCAAACTTTCCTCCATCGGTCGGCCGGCTGACCTCCCTTTTCCGAAGGACCCAGTCGCCCATCTTGAACTGCCTTGGTCGCACCCGCTGGTCGTGATATGACTTGACCTGCCGGCGGTAGTTTTCTGCCCGCATATATGCCCTTTCCCTTCGCTCATCAATGAGGTGCAGCTCTGCCCTCAGGTTCTCCTCATTTCCTTGAGCATCAAACGTCTCTACTCTATAACTTAACAACGAGGTCTCCGCTGGAGCCCTTGCTTCAAATCCATATGTGAGCGAGAAAGGGGTTTCACCTGTTGCCTTCCTTGGAGTAGTTCTGTAGGTCCACAATATATAGGGCACTTCTTCCACCCAGGCACTTTTGCATTCCATTATCTTCTTCTTGAGGCCATCCATGATGGTACGGTTGGTGTTCTCAACCTGCCCATTGGTTTGGGGGTACCCGACCGCCGCATAGCTGTGTTTTATGCCCCAGCTCTGTAGAAACTCATTGAACCCCCCGGCCTCGAATTGGGTTCCGTTGTCAGTGATGATCTGCTGGGGCACCCCGAATCGGCACAAGATTTGCTTGGAAACAAACTTTGTCATCTATTCCGCAGTGATGGTTGGCACGGGGGCGGCTTCGACCCACTTGGTGAAGTAGTCAATCGCGACCACCAGGTATGTGTTGTTCCCTGTCCCTCGAGGCAAAATACCGACCAGACCGATGCCCCACCGGGCAAAGGGAATCGCTGTGCTTATCGGGGTATAATTCGTCGCCGGTCGCCCCGGCATCCTCTGGAATTCCTGGCAAACCTTGCATTTGCGCACGTACTCTGCGCAATCTCTGATAATCGTTGGCCAAAAGTATCCTTGTAGGGTCACCTTCCTGGACATCGTGAAGGCTCCCTGATGCGCTGAACATATTCCCTCATGGATTTCCTCCATTAACTTTTGCGCCTCGCCCGCTCTTAAGCACCTCAACAATGTACCATTGTACGATCGTTTATACAGCCGACCGCACTCCAGCGTGTAGCTGGGTGCACGTCGCCTCACCACCTTTTCCGCGATTGGGTTGATGGGTAACGACCCGTCAAGGATGTACATGGTAATCTCATCAATCCAATCCGGCTCCTCTTTGAGTGTGATGATCAGCACTTGTCCGGGACTGATGCTTGGCTTGAGCAACTCTTCTTCCTGGGTCATTGCCTTAATATGATCCGGGGAATCCGGACCAAGCTTTGACAAGATATCTGCCTCAGCGTTCTCTTCCCGAGGGACCTGCTCTATCCGGTACGCCCCGAATGCTTTAAGCAACCCCAGGGCAGTGTCTCTATACTTCTTCATTCGTTCATCCTTGGCCTCAAATTCTCCAGTGACGTGTCCTACCACTAGCTTAGAATCGCACCGGACTTGGATTCGCTCAGCCTTTAATGAGGCTGCCAACCTCAAGCCGCAAAGCAGTGCCTCATATTCAGCCTCATTGTTTGAGACTTTAAATCGGAATCTCACGGAGTAGTATGCCTTGAACCCTTCCAGAGATATCGCCACGACACCTCCCCCCGAAGCATCAGTCGCGGACGACCCATCGGTGTACACAGTCCACCAATTCCCCTCGGGTTCTTCTCCACTAGATTCTACCTCCCTCGCAGTGCATTCTACCACGAAATCTGCTAATGCTTGCCCCTTTATCGCCGGTCGCGGCTTGAACTCTATTTGAAAGGATTCCAGGAACACTCCCCACTTGCTGACCCGTGACGGGGCATTTGGGCTTCGAAGAAGCGTTCCGATGGGAATTTGTGATAACACATGGACCGGATGGGCTTGAAAATATGGGGTGAGCTTTTTCACTGTACACAGTACCGCAAAGATGGTCTTCTCCATGTTGGTATATCTCAACTCCGCCCCTCGCAGCACTCGGGCCACATAGTACACAGGTCGCTGTGCGCCCTCCTCCTCCCTCACAAGCACCGAGCTCACAGCTCGAGGAGAGATTCCTAAGTATAGGAGTAAGGTCTCTCCGGGCTCTGGCTTCGAAAGCACTAGTGGGGAGAGGAGATATGCTTTTAACCCCTCAAAAGACCGTTGACATTCCTCGGTCCAAACGAACCCTCTACTCTTCTTAATGGTCTGAAAGAAAGGAGCCGCTCGATCAGCTATCTTTGATAAGAAACGACTGAGAGCAGCAATCCTGCCGGTGAGCTGCTGGACCTCCTTTACATTTCGCGGAGGCTCCATCTCCAAAATCGCCTTTACCTTTTCCGGGTTAGGCTCGATCCCTCTCCGGCTGACCATATGTCCTAGGAATTTACCCCCCTGCACCCCAAATGTGCATTTCTTGGGGTTAAGGCGAAGCTGGAACTTCTTCATGATCTTGAATACTCTCTCCAGGTCGCCAGCATGAGACTCCGTCCGTTTGGACTTGACAATCATGTCGTCCACATACGCTTCCATGCACCCCCCTAGTACTGGCGCGAACAGCTTGTTCACCATCCGTGCATAGGTCGCCCCAGCATTCTTCAAACCAAAAGGCATCACCTTGTAACAGTATACCCCATTGGGGGTGATGAAAGCGGTCTTTTCTTCATCCGC